CAACTTCGATGTAAATGATCATCGAAGTTGCCATTCAGATCAATCAACGAATGGAATGAATAATGTGCAATGTGCAATGCAAAATAATACAATAAGTAATAAATATCACAAATGCTATAAATGAAATCAATCAATCAATCAATCAATCAATCAATCACGTAACGCAAAAAACAACAACAAATCGCCCGTCTCAAATCAGCGCAATGGAACACGAATAAAAATCAAATCAAAATAATATCACAATAATACAAATTTCAAATCATCTCTTAAATATCAAATCAAATCATCAAAACATCAAAATAGCTCTAAATCAATAATGCGATCAACTCATTAATCAATCAGCATCAGCACTACAGCCTCCTATCTGCAGTGTCCTACTATAAACCTTCGCGTCGCTACCATTTACTACTACTACCACCATGTGAAGAAGGCGGATCGAGTTTGCACCTTCTGCTGATAGACTTCGTGCCATGTCTTCGGCGGTGCTCTTGACTGCTGGCTTGTGGCTGCACTGCTCGTGGCTACTGCTGCAGATGACGCAATCCCACTGCTATCGTCACCCGCATGCGGCGACGACATCCTATCCGTTTGGCTTTCATCTCCCGTTGTTGCGAACGTTATGCATGCTCCTGCTGAAGCTGCAAATGCAAATGCAAATTTAAACCATTCCATATCGAGAACTACCAACGTATACGTAACTATATTATACATATATAACTATATTATAAAGTATATAACTTAACTATACTATAAAATATATAACTATAAAGTATATAGCTATATTATAAAGTATAAAGTATACAACTATAGAATCATGAAGAGATACAAGTGAAATAAGGATCAGCAGCAGCAGCAGATCAATCACCTGATCCATCAGCAGTATCCTCGTTAGCACTGTGTAGTTGTTGTTGTTGTTGTTGTTGCTGCTGTAGCATATTGCGTCGATTGATGGCTCGTGTTTTGGACTCTTTTGATTTTCGTTTCTTTTTCTTAGATTTCACTTCGACGATCAGCTGGGGTGGCATTTGCACGAGTTGTTGTGGTGATTTGCGTTGTTTTAACGCTTCACGAAGATTGAAGATCTGTCCACGCATTACGTTCAGCTGCAGCTCGAACATTTTCTTGTCGAAACCTTTATCCTCTTTGAAGATCTTTCGTAGATCTTCACATAGCTCTTGCACGAATTCGGTGCTCTCCACGAACGGTAGCACTTTTTGGACGGTCTCCTCACTGAACGGCATCTTTGCTATGGGCAACCATGCCCAATGATACGGATCTAAACTTTCGAAAATTTTTTTGCTATCTCATTTTAGTATAAATACATGTTGAAATATAAAATTAATATATTCAGAATAAAGAAATCACATCACATACATGCTCTCCACTCATCCGGATGCTTAAACGGGAACGCTAGACCGTTGTCGATAGCTGCCAATTGAATGGTTGGCATTGATACATCACTCCAGATACATTCATCTGGCTCCACATTCACACATTGATCTGACCAATAGAATAATGATTGATCAACACTTAATGATCAACTAAGAATCATGATCAACAACACATCAACAGATCAACTAAGTGATCAACTAAGTAATTCGCCTGAATAAAAATAACTGCAAATGCTGTTTCACATTCTAATGATAGCACCTTTTGATTGGTGTTGTGCGATGGCACACGCATCACTATTATCCGTTATTGGATCATCGATAGGCCTCTCAGCGCCGTATTTATCACCACCATCACTAGCCATCCCCATCGCCATCGTCATCTGAGTGGGTGGTTGCGGACGTTCCACTGAATCCACATCGATTAGCTTCTCGACTGGCTGCTCATCAACATTTCCTTGGTGTTCTGCACTAGGAGACGACCTATGAGCTGCACTAGCATCATCTCCAACAGCCTTCCATTCCACATTAGAATCCTTCTGAAACATCGTATTCCTCACCTAAGATCGGTATTTATCAGCAAAACACTGTTATATCAACACACAATACACAACACTAACCACTGCATGCTGCGTTGGTACAGGGTCAGGTGGTATCGGTGCCACCACTATGTCCGCCTGCTCGTATTTGACTAGCCAATTGTCGTTACCACGATCTGCAAACACAGAAAGCACACTGAACATATGAAAAAGATTGTCTAAACTAAAGAAAGCAAGAG